GACCCCTTTGGCGGTCGAATGACCCTTTCACAGGGGTCGCCTAAGACCATCCTGCATACCAGATATTTACATTACGATTCATAACAGTAGCAACATTACAGTTATGAAGTAGCAACGAAAATAATTTTATGGTTGGGTCACAACATGAGAAACTGTATTTAAAGGGCCAGAAGGTTGAGAACCACTGTTCTAGAGCATGGGTCTTGATTGGTATAGTGGGCAGAATTATGAGATGGCGGTGAAGATTCCACCTCCTAGTGTATATGTCCTGTATAATCCTTGTGCGTGAGGGGATTTAGGAATATGACAAGATTGTCTTCTCCGTGTTTAGGTTATGATGGCATAGTTCCTTTAATAAAGGGAGATTATCTTTGGTGGGCCTGGCCTAATCAGCAAGCCCTTAAAGGGACTAGGCTCTTCCTGAAGAAAGAGTTTTGAAGTGTAAGAGAGGTTTGACACAAGGAAGATGCTCCATTGATGGCTATAACTATGGAGGGGATCCACTAAGAGTGGAAAGTGGTCACTAAGAGTGAAAGCCAACAAGAAAATAAGGGATTCGGTCTCCTAACCATGAGGAACTGAATTCTATGGACAAACTGAATGAGTGGATTCTTCTGTAGAGCCTGGAGATGAGAATCCGGCTTCAGTGTGAGACCCAGCAGAGAAGTCACGGGAACCATGCCTGGACTTCTGCCCTACCGAACTCACGGCTAATTAGTTGTTTTAAGCCTCTAAGTAGTTGTGCAGCAATAGAAAACTAACAAACTAATAAAATGGTATTCTAGTTAAGTGTGACTTGGGATTTTTTAAAAGTCCTTTTTCTTATATCCTGTTTCCCTGCTTTTCTTTAAAGTGTTGCTCTGTTTTCCCTCCATGAAGTTATTTCATTGAATAAGAAAATGCCATATTGTTAGATTAAAATCTTCTCTCATATCATATATGAGAGTTACAACTTTTTCTCCCTCACAGTTGATTTGAGATGCAAAGATGTCTATGCATGCTTTGGGCTGGAGAATCAAACTGGAAAACACGGATTTCAAGAATCAAAGCAGACAATCTGTGCATTTTGAAGTAACTCAGATATGTTTCATTCACAGCATCCAGCTATCTTGATACACAGCAACCCTGACATAGCGGTTGAAGGTAAAGGAGAAGTAATGTGAGCATAAGTGCTTGGACATTTTAATATCTTTTATCAATAAACAACAGTAGAACGCCACGCATCTGAATCCATGTTTTTCCCAAGGAAAACCTGTATCCTACCTTCTGCTTCTTGATATGCAGCTGGATCCTATTATAAGGGTAAGACACACCATGGGGAACATGCCTAAACTTTTTAGGCTACAAAAATGAAAGTTGATATTCATTAATTAGATGTCTACATTATGCAGATTGACCACTGTATTATATACAACATAGTGAAAGTCACTATTAAATGGCTTGTTGATAGCTCCTCCTAGGTAATTTACTAAACCTTACTTACTGAGAGTCTGTTAACCACAAAGGCAGGATTTGGTGTCAGGTCAAAATCAGAACAAACTGTGACTTTGTGGTTGATGGCAGAAAAAAATATTCTACATCAAAGAAAGCTGAGAACGCAATATGATGTCCTTCTAACATTTAATTCAGGAAATACTGCATTTCCAGCAAAGCTTAACGTAATGCAGGTAAGTGAAAATATCAAAACGTCAATGATTAAAACCCACCAGTTAAAACCTATATTCTCTACCTTTGTGAAAATTATAGAATTGAATTAAGAGAAAAGCCACTGAAATTTAGATTTAAGTAAATGCCAACAATGGATTCTGGAATAAGTCTGAGGATCACAAACCCACAGCTGAAGAATGGTTAGCTGTTTTAGTAAAAAGAACTCACACACACATACAAATACTCAAAAGGCCATAATGTGCAAAACTTCAAGGTCTGGGGATTCAGGTAAACCATGACTTAGCTTTTACCAACTTTAACCAAAGTCTTCCCAGGTGCTAAAGTCAGCACTAGAGAAAAGCTATTATAAAAGCACTCTGTTAAGTAATTATAGCTTTGTCTGCTTCAACTTCTTATACCATCTATATAATTATGTTGAGAGAAAACACTCCAAGCTCAAATGAAATAAATGACTTCAGTTTATGCCCACACGGACCTTGTCAAGTAGCCAATGACTTGCCCTTTCATTGTGAGTGACTAATATCAATGTTGGCTCTAAAGAAAGACACTTTTCATAATCGCCCAACAATCTGCTAAGTGAAAACATATGGATAGGCTTAGGCAAAGCCTGCCAGGGGTCTTTGCTGAATGGAAAACAGGTGCTCTCATTCTGTGCCACGTAATACCCCATTTACCCCCAAGTCCAAAGGTTATAGGACTAATAGTTGCCTTGTGGTAATCAGGGAAAGCCAAGACACTGGCCTTGGTGAAACATCTGGGACATATTTTACATACTTGCAACATATGCTTCAGGTTCAATTAAAGTGAGGCTTTGGCACATTTATTAATCTTTTTTACTTTTATCCTATAAGAGGACCCACTGACCTGACCCTAATATTATACCATATGAGAAAACAGAGAAATAATGAGAGCGAGAGGTCAGCACCTGCTCGTATGGCAAAAAATACATTTGTTTTCTCATGAAATTCCATTACGCATGACTCTATACACAAACTTTAAATAGAGGAACCAATGCATTTTTAAAAGTAGGAAATTACCCTTCTCCCACTCAGACACACTGATAGCCAAGACTTACAAAATTTACCGCTGTGAGAGCCAGTCAAGAGATGGAAGCTGGTAAACAGAAACTTGAAGGACCCTCTCATATTTCCATTTCTTAGAGTAAAAACTTTGTATTTCTAAATATCCACTCTAAGATTCTTTTCTCTATCATGCAAGCCCCTAGAGTATGTTATAAGTTATTACATTTGAGATTTTCTTTTTGTTCAGATGTGATTTTTATGCTATAAATTGCATTATGAATAAAAAGAGAAACCTCCTTATATATCACTCAAATAAAGAACTGGATTTATGAAAATCAGCTCACAGTCCTTTCAGATGGAAAACACACTGTTCATTGGCATTCTGTACAGAAGAATACAGTTGAATTCACATAGTAATTTAAGCACTCCTTTCAATCAACTTTGGAAACTAGATCTAAAAATGAGTTAGCAAGGGGATATCAATTTCAGACTACCAAACACTGGATCACAAAGATGCCACTTCAGAGATCTGCTCTTATGTCCACCATGGTGTATTCTACTTAGCATCTATGTTTTGGTAAGCTGGTTAACCAGGTGTGCTATTGATTTCCCACGGCTAACATCCTCTCTATTAAAAAATGACCATAAAGAAGGGATTAGTGGTATAGAATACCAACAAACTGGCTATAAAATACAGGCCGACTTCAAGCAGGACACTGAAGTACTAGACTTCACTAAGGGTTTCCATTTATTAACATTTCTGGGGAAATGCCCGCTGTCAGAATGGATCTTTATAGTAGCTTTAATAATAAAGCAGCAACAAGCGAGGGAAAATGGCCATAAATGGATGGCAGCTCAGTGTTTATCAGCAGAGAAATGATGATTCAGAGCTGGCATGTTGCCTTAAAATACAGTCTCTCTACAGCTCTACCACTGACCTTAACAATAAATCATATCATTTATTGCCATAAGTGTATGCTCATGTTATTTAACATTAAAAACAAGCACATAGGTGTTTTTGCAGAAAGATTTTTGTTAGTTTATATTTGATGATGTCACTAATGACTAAATGATGTACATAAGAAAAATTTTACATAAAAGCTCTATCAATTTAAAAATGTTTGAAATCACATTAGAAGGGAGAAAGTGTGTGTGTGTGTGTGTGTGTGTGTGTGTGTGTGTGTGTTTCCATTTTCCTTTAAGCATTAAATATTAGGGAAAAAATCATTTGGGAGTTAACTAATCACTGTTAATTTTTTTGACATTTTCAATGCTAACTCCCAGCACACAAAATCTTAAACTAAAATATAACCGTACATCTCTATTGGAACCAAAGGTCAAGGGTATAAATGAAGATACACTGTTTTCCTCCTTTTTTCAAAAAAATTTCACTGCTTTACTAGAACAGAATTCAGATAGTTTCTGGTGAAGGTCAAAATCTGGTTTTAGATGCCGAACAGCACAGAAATAATGAATGATCGCCTCCCTCCCTCCTCCCAATCTCACCCTAGGACTTTTTCCATTTTAGATCTTGACCTGCCCAAGCACTATAAACCAGCATCGCTACCCTCCTTGCCACAGACAGCCGTTCTTCCAACCCCAGCCGCTGCTGCAGTGGTGCAAGGTCATTCTAATTCCTCCCTCCAGTTGTCCTCTCTCCCCAGGGGACAACCAATCCAAGCAGTCCCAGAAACTAGCTGTTATTTACTGTGGTCACCATCCACAAGCCAACCAGCAATTGAAAAATGAGCCTCTCTGACCACACTTTCCTGACCAAGGAGCGATGGGGCCATTCCAAGTCAAGTCTAAGCAGAGGGCAGTAGCACTGGGATTATTTAAATGCCCTCCGCTCACATGTGTTCCTCTGATGAGCAATTTTTTGAAAATTACAGATGACAATATCCATGTTCAGCTCATGCAGCCTGCTATTTTTTCTCTTCTCTCTTTTCCCCAAAGTGTAGCCTGATTTGTAATACTCAAGATAGGACAAATTTTTGCCCTTCAAAAACAGTTGTCACTGCCGTTATCTTCACACGAGCTATCAAGTTCCAGACAAGCTGAATTATTTTATTTTATTTTTTTTTTGTTCCTAGCAGAAAAAATATTTGACCCAGCTCTGGACAAAAGCGAAGAGGATTTATAGCCCTCTCTCCTCTTTGCAACATGCGGTGGCATTGTTAGGATGATAAACAGCACTGTCCAATTTTCTGGACTCGAACACTTCAACTCCTTTTTTAACTGTCTGTGAAAACAGTGTCAGGCCTACATTTCCCCATCCCCAGGTACCCAAGTGCTGGGAAAGATAATTACCTTGTCATCTTTGTCATCTTCTTCTTCCTCGTCCTCTAGCATGTCCTCCACTACCTGCAGACAGAAACAGAAGTCGTTTTCATGCTCTTAAAACAGAGAGTTTTGTTCTGTCATTTTGAACCTTTTGGAAATGAAAACTTTATTAACATTTGAAACAGAAGCACGGAGAGGGAATATTTGATCTAGCGATAAGGATGAGGGAAATGTCATGCCTTTAATTGATTAAATCCAGGGAACTGAATCCCAGTCAGGAAAACCCATTGTGTGAAATATTCTGTGACAACTGAAACAATTTGAAATAATGCATAAGGTAAATGAACATAATTTGAGAGATGCTTTAAATCAGGAAATTTCCTTTTTACCTACACTGCTGTCTATATTAATTAGGCACTGTAAATTTGGAGCTAGATAACTAAGCTGAAAACAGCTCTGCTATTTTTAATTTACTTTCCAGCAAACTCTAAGATAAAGAACTATGTCTGTTCATTGATTCGTGCTGGTAATCAATGGCATAAACATCTCTCATGACTCAAATTTTAATTCTTATGTATAAATGTCAAGTTCTAACTATCTCTGTATTACTTTTTAATTTTATGAATTACCTGATATGCTAACTTTAATTCTCTGTGATTTTACAACAAGAATGAACATTATTATTGAAAACTAGAAATATATTCAATAATCAAATGTGTGTAATATAGGTGGATATGCATGTATGTAGGTGGGTATACATGCATGTCTTTTAAATGGTTCCTGGTTTGCCTATCTCAGCAGAATGGAATAGTCATTTTGGATTCACCACATAATTTCTGCTTGCCTCAATCAGTCTATAACTACAGCCATTATTTTTTATTTTTAAATATTATTTTATTAATTTCAGAGAGGAAGGGAGAGGGAGAGAGAGAGAGAGAAACATCCACGCTGAGAGAGAATCATGGATCGGCTGCCTCCTGCACGCCCTCTACTGGGGATCAAGCCCACAACCCAGGCAAGTGCCCTTTAGTCCACAGGCTGACACTCTATCCACTGAGCAAAACCGGCCAGGGTGTACAGCCATTATTAATGGAACTTCAACCTCTTTCAGGTGTTGTATTATGGTTTTACACACCTACACACAAAAAATATTCCATAGAAACCAACAATTAAAAACATTGGGGGGCCCTAACAGGTTTGGCTCAGTGGATAGAGCATTGGCCTGCGGACTGAGGGGTCCCAGGTTCGATTCCGGTCAAGGGCATGTACCTTGGTTGTGGGCACATCCCCAGTAGGAGATGTGCAGGAGGCAGCTGATTGATGTTTCTCTCTCATTGATGTTTCTAACTCTCTATCCCTCTCCCTTCTTCTCTGTAAAAAATCAATAAAATATATTTTAAAAAATTGGTGGTGGCGTTATTCAAGTAAGTGGAAATTTATTATGAATCTATTTATGTCATTTCTCATTCTTGTGACATTTTTATTTTTTATCTAGTCTGTACCTCCATCTCTGAATAAACTTAATAGAATAGTGATCAACAAATATTTTAACCTTTCTCCCAAAGCTCATAACTTTAGAAGACAGAGACCACCAGTCCTTCTCTCACGTGACTTTCTGATACAAACAGGAATATGCTTAATTATCAAATGAAAACTTCAATAACTAAGACTGTATTATGCAAAGTTATATAAACTAAGATAATATGTCAGGAATTCCAGTTATTCTAATAATTTTTCTCAGATATACTAAAAGCATTAACTGCTTTAAAATAGCCCAAACACAAGCCTTCAGAACTGATATGACTCACAGCATCTGACAACCTGTGAGATGGTTCCTAATATCATACTTTAAATATTTTATCATATGGTAGAATTCTTTCATTTGGACATTCAGCATTTTGAAGAAACCATAGTAGCACAATATCTGTTTCCAATATCGGGTGAGAGTTTACACTTATTTTGGGAAATACAAAGCAATTCAGCCTATGCAAGAAAGAAGGATTCTTGATCTTCTCTCTATAACTATATCCTGCCACTCCATAAGCACTATTATAAATCCCCTTGTCCAAGGAACACAGTGCTAGGTACTGTGGGAATACAAAATGAGGAACACCTAGATAATTCATCTTTACTCATGTCAGCTCTAAAGAGGCTTATAACCCAGTAGAATTTAAATGAGGACTATCAGATAATTTTTCATGTTGACTTTTAATTTACTGAAATGTTTAAGTATTCATATACTAAGTATACAGACAACAATAATTAGGTGCTATATGCCAGGCTATTTCAAATTGGACTATTTGTGATGGAAATTTAAATAGGAAAAGCAGTCACAATATTTCAGTATATATGTTGCATCTAAAGAATTCACCTCACAAATAGCTGAACTAGAACTTAAACCAGACTGTGGGACAGTAGAGAGCAACCTCTCAACCCCTACCCAGTTCGAAAAGAAAAGGAAAAGAAAAAAATTCACCTAACTCTCACAAGATTTTTAAAAAATGATTTTCATTTTGTATCTCTAATAAAATGATGTTTTAAATTTTAGATTTAGAATAAGTAATCTTTAAGATTGGTCATTTATCTATTTTATTTTTTTTCGATGTCAACCTAAGTGGCCATTGATAGACAAATAGATTAAAAAGTTTATGCCTCAGCCATAAGCTAGAATGAAATCTTGCCATTTGCATCAACACAAATGGACCTAGAGAATATTATGCTAAGTGAAATAAGCCAGACAGAGAAAGACAAATACCATATGATTTCACTTATATATGGACTCTAAAAAAATAATCAAAACAGAAACAAACTAATAGATATAAAGATCATTTTTATGTTTGCCAGATGGGAGGAGGGTTGGAGGGATGGGTGGAAAGGGGAAGGGCTTAAGAAGTACACATTGATTGTTACAGAATAGTCATGGGGATGTAAAGAACAGTATAGGAAATATAGCCAATAATATTGCTATAACTGTGTATGGTATCAGCTGGGTACTAGACTATAAATGTCTCATCATTATTTTGTACACCTGAAACTAATATACTATTGTATGTCAACTGTAATTGAAACATTTATAAAATTATTATAAAAATAAAAATTGTGTATATTTTAGGTATACAACATGATGATTTTTATAAATTAATTTGAGAGAGAGAGAGACATCGATTGGCTGCCTCTTGTATGCTCCTTGACCAGGGATGAAACCTGCAACCTGGGTATGTACCCTGACTAAAAATCTAACCCACCACCTTTTGGTGTATGAGACGACACTCCAACCAACTGACCCACACCAGCCAGGGCCAATACGATGATTTGATATACATTAGATTAAGTGATTTTTTTTTTACTAAAATTACCCATGCAAAGTCATTTATCAAAAATGTTAAGAAAAATAAAATAAGTACTATACTTTTACTCCTGTGCACAAACTCCAACAATATTTTCAAAAGTTATTAAGAATGTATTATATGCCTCCCCTCTTTAGTACTTACTATCATCCTGCAGGTGCTAGGAAGACAGAACGGTGGTGTTAAATTGTGCCTAGCAGATGGCAAGACACATAGTGGGTGTTCAAGAAATTTGATAGAGTGAATAGATGAATGCATCATCTATTCTTCGTATCCTTGAACACAATTTAGTAAAGTGCCTATCATTTATCCCACAGAAGAACTAGCTGGCCTGGGAAGACTTATACCTAATCAATGATGCAGATTAATAAAAGCAAATATTCAAAATGGTTGGAATAGTTGCCTGGAAATACAATCCATGAATATTTAACCTTCATTTTAAGATTTGGAGACCTCTACTATCTTTTTTTTAAAGAAAATATGTTTTTATTGATTTCAGAGAGAGGAAGGGAGAGAGAGAGAGAGAGAGGGATAGAAACATAAATGATGAAAGAGAAACACTGATCTGCTGCCTCCTGCCCGTCCCCTACTGGGGATCCAGCCTACAACTTGGGCATGTGCCCTGATCAGGAATTGAACCGTGACCCCCTGGTTCATGGGTTGATTCAACCACTGAGCAATACCAACTAGGCGATCTCCAGTATCTTCTAGTTGATTTTAAAAATTTCAAAATATTACTGAACCTTAAAAAAAAAATCAAAAGTTTAATTTACACATTTTACAATTCAACTGCAAATCTTATGTTCAAGAATGACTCAAAGTGATCTGCAGATTCAGGCTCTTCATTTGTGAAACCAAAACTGTTCTTACCCTTCACAAGTGGGTAATTGGTTATGCACAATTGCTCCACAAATGTGCAGGCGGAATAACCCAATGCAACCATTTGCTTTTACATTTGGCAGAAGAGTGTTGTGTTAGCAGGAGGCCTTTGTGTTGTGTTTAGTGCTCTAGTGAGGGCTTTCCCCTCCTCCAGCGCCCTTTTAATGTTACACCATAAATATCTACAAGTGAGGATTTATAATATACAGGTGGCTTTCCTATCGATGCCTCTAAGTTGCTTCACAATGTATCCCACTATTATATTTTGCTAAGGTGAAGTTTAAGGTGGCTTGAAAAATGGAGATAATAATAGCACCTATTCCACGTGTTAATCAAGGATCCAATGAGATAGTATATTTAAAGTGCTTAGCAAAGTTCCTGTATTGAAGTACTCAAAAATGTTTGCTATTAATAAAAATAAAAATAATATTAATTTAATAATATTTTAAACATTATTTTCTGAGATTAAATTTTTTTTTCTGGGCAAAATATTCAGTGTTCTTAACCACATATAAAATTCTGGCTCATGTTTCACTAACATTAAGAAACACATAGAAGGGCACAGGTAGAGGCATGGATAAAGATTCCAATTAAAATGATAATGCTTTCACAACTAATTTTCAGGTTTTAATGGTCCAATGAAATAGATGGCTTTGAAGGCAAGAGTGCCTCAGAAGCTAGTCTGTGCTTTAAGACATGAGCCCTGGCCAAATACAATGAATATAGAAACTGCACACAGCTTTTAAAAACAAACTATATATATCACTGAAGTACGTTTAATGACTGCACAAAATTGCAACATTTTCCAGAGAACTCAAATAACACCTATTATTTAGAGAGTGCTAGAGTTTAACA